TATAAACAATGGGCATGTAGGTTATTTTTTTTAATGTTTTCCATTGTAAACACTATTGCAACAAATATCCTAATACTTGTATGTAAATGTCTATTTCTCTAGAAACTTTCTAGAAATAGAACCAATGGTGCTTAAGATATGCCCGCTGGGGACCTCATGGGAAGGGGGGCTTTGTGGGCCGTCCCCCACGCCCCACCGAGGTCGCCAGCTGCCCCCCACGAGCGGCTCTCCGGCACGGCCACGGCCCCGGAGGCACAAGGACTTAGCACAGAGAACCAGCCGCTTGGAGCAGAAAAGCAAATGGACTTGTGTTGATTCGCGCCACCAAGCCTGCCCAGAGGGGGAAGGGCGTTGACCGGCCCGCCCGCTCCTCTCTGGAAAGAAAGATGGCGGCCGCACGGGAGCCTTGTGGAAAGCGGGTTTGAGCCGGGCTCGGGGAAGCGGCGGGGACCTCATGGGAAGGGGGGCTTTGTGGGCCGTCCCCCACGCCCCACCGAGGTCGCCAGCTGCCCCCCACGAGCGGCTCTCCGGCACGGCCACGACTCCAGGGCACAGAAATCAATCTCTTAACTAGCTAACTTTTAATAGAAATTCTTCCAGGGTCAATAAGTAAAATAGCAGAAATTCAAAACCATCATTTTATTCTTAAACCAAGTTGTAGAAAGTAAATCATTTCACAACGCTGTTTCAGCATGTCTGATTGGGGGGGGGGGGGGGTGGGTCGTAAACTCTAAACAATAATTGTGCATCTTCTATCGAAATAATCTATCTAGTCAAAGTAGATAGAGTATTAACTAGAACTCATCTGCCTCATAAGAATTGGGAGGGGTGGGAGGTGGGGGTCTATTGGGGTTCGGGGTTAAAAATGAGTATTGGTAAAGGGAAATGTGTTCGGTATCTACATGACTGAGACCTAAACCCGAAAGCTCTGTAACTTTTCCCACAGTGATTCAATAAATAAATAAATCATAAAAAAAAAAAAAAAAAAAGAAAAGAAAAAAAATATTAAGAAACTCCAAAAAAAAAAAAAAAAAAAAAAGATATGCCCGCTGGGCTGGCAGTAATTAGTACTATTCTAACTTCCACCAACAGGGAACCCAATTTTTCTCAAATCCCTGCCTTCTCTTGATAATATCGGAATTTATCATTCCTCCTCTGATAGATATAAAGTGACCTCATCTTGGGTTCCATCTGCATTTTCTGGATTTTAAAAAAAAATTTATCAGTTTTGCAAAAATGATAATAGTCATGCTAAGTCTAATCACCCCGATTTCAACACCCTGGATACATGTGACAATTTTTGCACATAGTGTAGGCAGTTCCTCAAAAGATACTCAAAGGTTAGAGAAGAGACAGAATTAATAGAATTATAATTACACCAGAATTATTGTGGTCCTCGGGGCTCACTCCTGATTTTGTACTCAAAAACCATATATGGTACCAGAATTGGAACAAGGGTCAGCTGTGTACAATATCTCTACCAGCTGCCTGGCCCTCCAAATACTTTTAAAGAAAACACAGGGCCTGGTGTACTGTCTCTCCTTAACAACCCTGGGCAGGAGAGAGAGCACAGAGAGCACAGCAGGTAAGATGCTTGCCTGGCACGCAGCTGACTTAGGCTCCATTGCTGGCACCCCTTAGGGTCCCCCATGACCCACCAGGAATGATCCCTGAGCACACAGCAAAGAGTAAGCACTGAGTACTGCCAACTCTACCCGCCCCCCCCCCCCCCCCAACAAACAAAACAACCTCCCCTCCCTGCTGCTGTAGGAGGTCTCAACCCAAGAACCATGGGCTTGGGGGCTGGAGTGATACCACAGCGGGTAGGGCGTTTGCCTTGCACACAGCCAAGCCGGGTTCGATTCCCAGCATCCCATATGTCCCCTGAGCACCGCCAGGAGTAATTCCTGAGTGCAGAGTCAGGAGTTACCCCTGTGCAGCGCCAGGTGTGACCCAAAAGAAAAAAAAAAGAATCATGGGCACTGCGCTCCCTAGGGCTCCTCTAATATTCTCAGCCTAGCTAAAGACACACCTATTAAATGCAGCTCCCCATACAAACTCCAAACTTCCTCGGGGCATGAGCAACTGAGGCTGAAATCCAGAGCCACTCATGGGTAACACGTCTTCTGCCACTGAACCCAAAGGCAAGTTTTCTCATGTGTGGGAGTCTGGGTGTCTCCCAAGCAGTGCTGGGGGCCGCAGGACCACTCTTGGGAGATAAAACTGCATGGTGCTGCCCATGGTTAATAGGTGTGAAGTGGCCCCTCCCAACCTCCCACATATAATAATTAAAATCAATAAAAATACATTTTCTCCGGCTTGTAAAATCCCGACCCATGTGAAATTGTGTTTTAACCAGGCTCCAGGAGCGAAAACTGTTGCTCCTTCTAAGCCCTCAATCTGCGGTTTTCCACAGAGCTGCCTGTGGGTCATTACACACACACACACACACACACACACACACACACACACACCACTCCACAGAGCTGACTGTGGGTCATTACACACACACAAACACACACACACGGTCATTACACACACACATACACACACACCACTCCACAGAGCTGACTGTGGGTCATTACACACAGAAACACACACACACACACACACACGGTCATACACACACACACATACACACACACACCACTCCACAGAGCTGACTGTGGGTCATTACACACACACACACACGGTCATTACACACACACATACACACACACACCACTCCACAGAGCTGACTGTGGGTCATTACACACACAAACACACACACGGTCATTACACACACACACATACACACACACATCACTCCACAGAGCTGGTTGTGGGTCATTACACACACACACACACATCACTTCACAGAGCTGGCTGTGTTTCATTACACACATACACACATCACTCCACAGAGCTGGCTGTGGGTCATTACACACACACATACACACACACACCACTCCACAGAGCTGATTGTGGGTCATTACACATACACACACACACACACACACACACCACTCCACAGAGCTGGCTGTGGGTCATTACACACACACATACACACACACACCACTCCACAGAGCTGATTGTGGGTCATTACACATACACACACACACACACACACACACACCACTCCACAGAGCTGGCTGTGGGTCATTACGCACACACACACACACACACACACACACTCTGTCCATTGGGTCCCACACTTCCAGAAGGGCTAGATGCTGTCCTAAAGCAAACCCTGGTCCTTACCACTCGGAATAGTTCCCAATAGACAGTAGGGGAGTAAACCCCGGGCCCCGCAGAGGAGGTCTCTGTGGCAGTTTATTTCCAGGAAGGGCTCCGAAGGTTGAACAGAGGTAGGAAATATCCTACCCATGACCAAAGTCCAAGAATGGTCCTGCTCCACTCCAAAGCGGCCACGTTCTCTCCTCTGCGCTTTCCATTCTGGATTAACCCTGCCTCTCTCTCCCACACTTAATTCTCTTTCTCTTATCCCACTTCTTTCTAGGTAAATTTCTTTCAACCAAAACTACTTTGCTCTGGGTCAAAGGGATAGTACAGCCCGGAGGGCACTTGCTGTGTACGCAGTGGGGCCAGGCATCCCATATGGTCATCTCATATGGTCTCCCAGGAGTAATTCTGGGTGTGGCCCAAACAAACAAAAAAAGCGATTTTGCTTGAGATAAAGCTGAATCCAGCAGGTAGGGCATTTGCCTTGCTCTGTGGCAGACCAGGGTTTAATCCCCAGCATCCCATATGGTTGCCAGAACACTGCCAGGAGTAAGCCCTGAGCCCCGCTGGGTGTGGCAGCCCTTTTCCTCACTCCATCCTCCACAAAAACTATTTTGCGTCACTTAAAAAAAGAAAAATCACGTGGTCTGGCCACAGTACAGGACAGACAGGTAAGCTTTTCATAACCTCCCCTCTGCCCGTATTTGCCTAACAGCCTAAACCATAAGTCAGAGGCTGCTTTGAACATCCCAGCTTAAGGCTACAAACAGCCCAACCTTCGCCCATAAAAGGTTTCCCAGGAAAAGACATTTGCATGTTCGGAAAGTGGAGAGCTAGGTCTCTAAGGACCTGCCTCACCTACCTTAAGGGCCTTGGCTCTCTCCTTCCCCAAGTGCAGCCTTAGCTGAGCTATTTAAGGATGACAGCTAAGGCTGTTGGGGCAGAGCAGAGGCGCTGGGGTCCCGCCCATGGGTACTTACTATTCATGAGCTTAGTAGTTAAAGATACCCGCCTATCTGATGCTAGTCCGCTCCTCCCCGCCCGGGGCTGATCACTCTGCACCCGGACCACCACCCTGCCCTTTGCAGGGAACAAGGGCTGCCCCCAAGGGCTCCCTGCGGGTCAGAGGGACCCAACCCCAGCGCTGAGCCGGGCACCGCGGGACCCCGCCCGGCCGGGCCGGGCCGGAGCGGCCACCGGACACCCCGGGCAGGCGTGGCCAAGGTCAGCTAAGCAGCGCAGCCCTGCACAAGAGGCGGGCCGACCCGGGTCACAGCCACACACGTGACTGCCCGTAGCCCCAGTCGCGCGTGTTCGAGACCCGGGACACCCCATGCGCAGGAAGGAAGGGGACGGGACGCTCCTAGCGAACTTTCCCTGCCAGCCAGACGAAAAGTCCCTGAAATGAACCCGGTGCACAACTCCCTCCCGCACCCCGCGCACCGGGACGCGGGTCACGGGGGGCGCGTGGCCCCCAGCTCTGCACTTTTGCAGATCTCCTTCCTGCGGCGCGGGGAGAGCCGCAGCCCGAGCCGGGCGAGCTCGGCGCTGGCCAGCACGCCCCCTGCCCGGCACCCCGGGCCCCGCGCGGGCCCTTTAACAGCTGGGGCTCGGCTCGGAGGAGGAGCCTGAACTGCACCCCGAGCGCTCCCGCCGGGGCAGAGGCACCCCGCCACGCCACCAGCACCCCACCGCCAAGCGAAGCGAAGCAGCTGTCCCTCCTTCACTTCCTGAAAGTCTCCCACGCGGGCTCAGGAAGCGTTTCAGCGCGCGATTACCTGCGGAGGGCTGCGCGGAGGAGGCGGCGGCGGCGGCGGCGGCGGCGGCGCGGGCACCCGGGAGCCTGTCCCGGCGCCTCCCTGCAGTGATTGCGGCGCGGGGCCCGGGCCCGGCGGGGGGCGGGGGGAGGCGGTCGCTGCGCCGCCGTGATTGGTGGGGCCGTGGGGCGGGGCTTCCGCGACAGCCAATGGAAGGTGGAACCAGGCCGGCCGGCCAGAAAGACAGCCAATCCGAGCGAGCCTCGCCGCCGCCGTCACCGCGGCCGCGGCCGCGGGAGGTTCAGGGTCAGCCTCCAAGGGGGTGAAGAAGTTAGTGCCTGGACCCAGGGCTGGGGCCGAGGGGGCTGGAGGCACCGTGGGCCCGGAAGTAAGCAGCATGCAAATCTCTTTGCTTGGCCCACATCCTGGGGCTACCCAAGCGAGACTTCAAAGTCACTGACCGCACCCCTTGGTCCAGAGTTCAGTGTGATCGCTGCAATCTGCACGTAGGCCTGGGGCTGGGGACTCTTTAAAAGATTGCCCCAGGTTGGGAGCCGGAACCAGATAGTACAGCAGGGAGGGCATTTGCCTTGCATGCGGCCCACCCAGATTCGATCTCCCCACGGGCAGCCCATAAGGTCCTCGGAGCATCACCAGGAGTGATGATTCCTGAGTGCAGAGCCAGGAGTCATCCCTGAGCATCTCCGGGTGTGGCCCAAAAAGCCAAAATAAATAAATAAATATCCCTGGGCTGGAGCAGTAGCACGGTGGGCAGGCCGTTTGCCTTGCACGCGACTGACCGGGATTCGATTCCCAGCATCCCATATGGTCCCCTGAGCACCGCCAGGGGTAATTCCTGAATGCAGAGCCAGGAGTAACCCCTGTGCATCACCGGGTGTGATCCAAAAAGCAAAAAAAAAAAAAAAAAAGTCCCCGAGGCGAGTGGGGGGTAGGGACTTCTGCCTTATCCCTGAACCCTGGGATAGCGAGCACAGAATCAGGAGTAATCCCGGAGCACTATCTGGTGTAGCCTTTCACCCCCACCCTGCAAGATAGTTACTTTGAGGATATGAATGCACCATCTTCCAACCTGCCCTTGGTGCCCAATAAAGCTTTTTTTTTCACCCATTACCGCCTCGCTCATGGATGTGGGTCTTCGAGGACCTGGAGGTTACAATCACATGGCTGAGTTAGATATTATCCTGGACTGTTTTTGCAGAGATGACTGGCTCTAGGGGAGACATTCTGCCCATAAAGCTGAAAACGTTTATGCTCCGACCACTTCCAAATAATATTTACCAACCCTGGGTCAACTATTTGGCCAGAGTCACAGCTCAGATGCGACCTTTGGGCTCCCAGCCCAGCTCTTTGGAATCCTCAACCGTTTCTCATCACCGGAGAGCTTTCAGTGTTCCTTGCTGGGGGAATGCAGAGTTCACGTCACTGTTTGCACAAAACATCGGGGTCAGGATGTGGCACCATAGTGGGGCACTTGCTGTCCAACTGTGAGGCGCTGGCTTCCTTTCCCGGCCCTACAGGAAGAAATCAGGCTGAGTGGATGCCCTGTCCAAGCAGGTATGCCGAGCCTAGGGAGAAATGGGGTTCTGCTCCTCCTTGGGAGGGGGGGGGAAGGAATTATCTAATAAGAAGGGCAGAAGTGGGGCTGGAGTGATAGCATAGCACGTGGGGCATTTGCCTTGCACGCAACTGACCCAGGTTCGATTCCCAGCATCCCATATGGTCCCCTGAGCACTGCCAGGAGTGATTCCTGAGCGCAGAGCCAGGAAGTAGCCTCTGAGTATTGCTGGGTATGATGCAAAAAAGAAAAAAAAAGAAGATGAAAGGGCAGAAGTCTGGCCTTGGCCAAGTTCTGAACTCACCTAGAGCAAATGGAAGGAAAACAGTGCCTTTAATGCCTGACATGTCCAGGCGAAGGAGCAGGACCTGGGCTGGGGTGGTCCTTAGCTGCCCTCTGCAAGCCTTTGGTCATTGCTCCAGCGTAATCCCAGGAGGAGGCTAAAAACTGAGATACAATGTGGAGGGAGAGGTGGGCGCATTTCTGCGATTGACTGGGGATTGCCATGTGATGGTCACAAGAGCCTCCAAAAGTCCTCCAGGAGACTCCTTGGAGAGTCCAGAGTGGGAACCAGCTCACGTCTCTGCCCTCTATCTATCTACGTCATTCAAATCCCAACTCTACCTGTTTCCAAGCTGTGCGCGCTTGTGTCTCGGTGCTGGGCTTCCTCCCCCGCCGGGTGGAACTAGAACAGCCTTGGGTCTCTCCCAAATGAACCGTGAGGCAGGAAAAATGGTCCAGCAGGTAAGGTGCTTGCCTGGCGCGTGGCCAACCTTCAGCACTGCATAAAGTCCCGTCAGCAGTGAACCCTGAGCACGGAGCCAGGAGCAAGCCTTGAGCACAAAAACAAAACAAACAAACTAACAAAAAACCCAACCTGCTCCCTACCCTTTTAAGGACAAGTTGCTCAGCACCTAGAAATACCTGTGAAAAATAGCCACTCCCTGTGATCGCCAGGAAAGCACCTTTGGCTCCTGGGCTGAGCCTCCCAGAGAGGAAAAGATGGAAATCAGCACCTTTGGGGCACTGTCTGGATTCCTGGTACCTATAGATGGGCAGCAGACTCCCTAGGGACACTTGGGCACCAGGACTTCGCCCGTGAATGCCAGCAGAATCCACACGGGAAAGTCACACGTTGGGACTCCTGGCGGCTTTCTTTGTATTACTGCTTGTGGGGGATACTCCTGGCAGGGCCGGGCACCACCACGTCATACTCTGGGCATGCACAACCTGGGGTCAAATCCAGGGCCTGCATGATTATGAAAGGCTTTGTGCTCTGCTAACTGGACTGTCCTGGCCCCAGGTTGGTGGGCATCTTGCTCCACATGAGATGTGGTTTGAGAGGCTCCGGCTGGATATGAGTTAGACATGTCACAAGAACGTAGTGATGTGGGGCTGGAGCGATAGTCCAGCGGGTAGGGTGTTTGCCTTGCATGCGGCCAACCCAGGTTCGATTCCCAGCATCCCAGATGGTCCTCTGAGCACCACCAGGAGTAATTCCTGAGTCCAGAGCCAGGAATAACCCCTGTGCATTGCCAGGTATGACCCAAAAAGAAAAAAAAAAGAACGTAGTGATGTTGGACTGGAGTGATAGTACAGTGGGGAGGGCATTTGCCTTGCACTCAGCTGATCCGGGTTTGATTCCTAGCATCCCATATGGTCCCCTGAGCACCGCCAGGAGTAATTCCTGATTGCAGAGGAGCCAGGAGTAACCCCTGAGCATCACTGGGTATAAGAAAAAAAAAATGAACACAAGAATGAAAGTACTTGGGAGTTCAGATTGTTTTTCCTTAACACAGTGGTGGGAGATTAAGAGATTACACTGGAGTTGGGGAGAATGTAGAAGAAATAAATTAGAAGGGCCAGAGAGATGGTACAGCGCACAGGGTACTTGTCTTGGTACAATCCCAGTAGGTCCCCCTAGGGTTCCCTGAACCTACCATGAGTGATCCTTGAGCACAGAGCCAGAAGTTAGCCCTGAGCACTGGTGTGGCCCCAAAACAAAATAAACCAAAAAGTAATTAGGTTTAGGGCAGAGCTTCTCCCGCTGGGTGGGGATGACATTTGGAGCCAGGTAATTCTTGTTTGTGTGAAAGGGTGGAGGTGGGGGGGGGGGGGAACTGATGTAAGATTAGCCTCCCCCACCCCTCAAATGTGCAGATAGATTTTTTTTTCCAGTATGCCCAGAGTGGGCTGGAGCGATAGCATAGCAGGTAGGGCGTTTGCTTTACACAAGGCCGACTTGGCCGACCCAGGTTCGATTCCTCCGCCCCTCTCAGAGAGCCCGGCAAGCTACCAAGAGTATCTCATTCGCATGGCAAAACCTGGCAAGCTACCTGTGATGTATAGGCTATGCCAAACACAGCAACAAGTGTCACAGTGAAGAAGTTGCTGGGCCCGCTTGAGCAAATCGATGAACAACGGGAGGACAGTGACAGTGACAGTGATGTCCAGAGCACATTTTTCCCTGGGAAGGGAAAATAAGGTCAGTGGTCTCTGTGTCTGCATGTGTCCAGAGAAACTGTTCCCATATCCTTATGGGCTAATGACGATCCAGACTTAGGGTCAGAGAGACAGTACAGTGGGAAGGCATTTGCCTTGCACGTGGCCAACCAAATTCCGTTCCGATCACTAGGACTGCACCACCAGGGGTTACTCTAAGCACTGCTGCATAAGGCCCCCAAATCCCACCAAATTAAAATTAAAATAGGGACCTATGAGATAGTAGAGTGGGTAGGGCACATGCAAGGCCTGTCAGCATTCATGGCTGAGCTGGGTTCAATCTGAGCTCAGACTGCACACCCCCTTTACTCTGCAACTCACAGCCATTCTTCCTTGCATGGATTAAATGTCACACACACTGTCACACACTGTCACACACTGTCCTCCCACTGTTCATCGATTTGCTCAAGTGGGCCCAGTAACGTCTCTGTCATGAGACTTGTTGTTACTGTGTGTGGCATATTGAAAACATCATGGGTAGCTTGCCAGGCTTTGCCATGCGGGCGAGATACTCTCGGCAGAGGAATCGAACGCAGGTCGACCATGTTGGCTGCATGCAAGGTAAATGCCCTACCCACTGTGCTATAGCTCCAGCCTTTATTTTTTTTTTATTTTTTTTTGAATTGTATAATTCTTTTTTTTTCTTTTTTTTATTAGTGAAAAACCATGAGGTACAGTTATAGGCTTACAAATTTTGTGCTTGGGTTTCAGTTATACAATGATCAAGTCCCCATCCCTCCACCAGTGCCCGTCATCCATCCCCATGGGTCCCAGCATCCCCCCCACCCTCATCTCCCTGCCCCCGTCCCATCCTGCCTCTGTGGCAGGGTATTCCCCCTTGTTCTCTCTCTCTTCTTTTGGGTACTGTGTTTTGCAAGAGAGGCTTTGAGTGGCAATCATGTTTGGTCTATCAACTACTTTTAGCGTGCTTCTCCCACCCTGGGAGGGCCCTCACAACACCCTTCATTTGGTACTCTCTTCTCTATCTGAGCTTCCTTTCCACCTAGAGCCTGTGGCTGGCCTTCCATTCATG